AGAACGAGGCCCCACGGTCACCGTTGCCTGACACCCGTGATGGTGTGGGTGGGTCTTCGCGAGTGCCCGGAGCCCTGCAAGGACGCTTGTCTCAGTGTGACCTCGAGCTGAGATGACAAATGACAAGGCGAGCAAGTGGCGAGTCCGTCCCTGCAGTCTACGTTTCCCACTTCCGGACAGTCACAACACAGACGCGCGGGACTCATTTTTCTTAACAGACGTGGTCAGCCTGTCGCCGGCCTGTCGCCGGCAGAGGCCAGTTCAGGGGTGCAGGGAGCCAGAGGGCTGCGGCGAGTCGTCTGACGCTGTGACGTTCTCCCCTCCCCTCGCGGACGCCTCGGCGGGGTTGGTGTCGTCAGCTGCTCTGGTGACGCCACATGAGCTGTCACGCACATTCCCAGCAGTGTCGGCTTATGGAGTAGCGAAAGCTGGGCATTGAGTGGGGACACGCAACCTGACACCGAAAGACTGGACCTGGTGATCAGGGCAGACGCACACGCCACTGCCCTGTCTCTGGTCCCGCGTGTCAGTAAAACCTGCCTGTTGCGCGCTGGTCACCGGCCCGGGCCCGCCCACAGCTGCCCTCCCTGAAACCAGACGTGGGGTCCGGCTTGGCGAGCACAAGGCCCAAGCACGTTACTGTGCCCTGGGTGGGTCTGCCGCGTGTCGTCTCCCGACCGCCTCTCTGGGGAGGGACATGAACTTGTGTTTCCCGAGGGCGTCTGTGGCCTGTTCCTCCTGCCTCGCTGTCCCTCACAAAAGCCAGGCCGCCGTGCCATCTCGTTTCTGACAGCCCCCCCGCCTCCCGTGGCGCCCTCGGTCTGCCCAGGCCAGAGGCCAGGCCTCTGAATGTGCTCTTCCCGCACTGGTTGCCTGCCCCTGCCCCTCAGGCCTCCAGCCTCTCTGACATGCTTACTCTCCTCTCTTCTCCCCCTGCCCACCTGGCCGTGTGTGTGTGTGGGGGGTCACCCCTCTAGTAGGGAGTCCTCCCTGACCCGCGCAGGAGTGTGTCTGCGTCCCTCCTGGGGAAGACCCTGATGGTCTCCAAAGCACGTCACAGCCCTCGCAGCATCTGCTGAAACTGCCCTTGCACCTGCCTGACCCCCCCAGCGCGCTGAGCTGTTGGCTCAGCTCGTGTCCTCAGCTTCTGGCAGACAGTGGGCACCTGGCCAGCAGCTGGTGAAGGCATCGTGGAAGTGTCCCCTTGTGGAGGCGATACTTTCCCTTGTACAGATAAGGAAACCGAGGCTCTGGAGTGCAGAGAAACCCACCAGGGCCCCTCCTGAGCCTGTGCTGCCCACCTCTCTTGACTGAACTGAACTGAGAGTCTCAGTGTTCTTGCCTGGCAGCTCCCCTCTCCCCTCTTTTATTCCATGTAGATGAAGCACAGATGTGGCAGGACTCTGCCCTCCGGAGGGGGAAGTGCTGTGGCAGCCCTGTCCACCTCTTTCTTGGCTGTCGGCTTTGTTGATGACCGGATGACACCCCACTGCAAACATTCCTGGTGGGCGGTGAGGAGACTGGTGCTCACACCCCTCCAGCATGGCATTCCTGTAGGTGAAGATGTAGGTGGTCCCTGTGACAGGGTGAGGTTCCAGGTTCCTGCCAGCATGGACCGAACTCCAAGTCTGGGGTCACTGACGGGAGAATAGGACTCACGGAGCTGACGCCCACCCTGCTACGTCACCACAGCATGGACATTTACAGTGAAACGGAGCAGAGATCCCATCTGTTCCTAAAGTAGTGTCCACCTACCAATTCTGAGGTCCGTGGGGAAAGCGCAAGTCTCCCACGGTCTTAGGTAGAAATGTGAGCATGTAAATTTTGTCGTCTGCATCGGTTGAATTTCTAGATTGCAAAAATGGACTGGCTTTAGGTGGCAACGTTTGTTCGGATCATTGTTAGGTCGGAAATCAGCATGAGCAAAAGTGAAGGGCACAGGTGGGCTCCGCAGAGGGCTCCTGCAGCGTGTTCGTGGTGTTCTGGCAGGGACAGCTGCGTCGGCTCATGTAGGGTACAGCATATTCGGCCGAAAATGAGATCCCCCAAGGGAGTTGAATGCTGCGGGCATCCTTACAGCTCCCGCAACTGCCTCTGGCTGTCGCCAGGCCGGTCTTGCCTCCCCGGCCCTTATTTGTCCTTGAGTCTGGGCCCTTCAGCCGCAGGCCTCTGGCCGTGTGCGCTCTGCAGGCCTGCCCAGAAATGCACTCGCTGGTGAATTTCCACAAAAGTATAAGTACATATTTCGATGCCACGATCTTGTCACGGAATCGCTACTGAAGTAATGATGATTTGAGCTCCAGGACGAGACAGGAAATGAAGCGCCGTTTGCCGGGACTCTAGGTGCACAGAGCCTGATGCGTGGCGAGCTGATCCGGAACACTGGGACTTAATTCTGTAAGTTCTGTTTTTTTGTGTGTGTGTGATAGCAATTAGCTGGTCACAAGAAGCATCTCTCAGTTATATAAAATACAACTTTTTTGGGAAACATTATGGCTCCATCCTTTTGTCTTTTCCTCCCATAGGTGTGGACACCATTCAGAACTTGTATCTGGAAGCTGGAAGGCCTGGACT